CACATAATGAGTATTTCTACAGGCATAAGACATAAGACATTATGGAAATGCATAAGGACATGAAGAGAGGGATTAGGGAATAGATCTGAGTTGGGCAGACATTTCAGTGTACCCTTTTCTACTCAATCTTTTACTATCATCATGTTTCTGCTTTTTAAAAAGGGGGTATACCCCAAAGAAGACTAAAAACTGTTTTCTTCAAAAACAAGTAGCTTCTAAATAAAAATAGAAACCATACAAGTAAGAGAGAATGAGGAATAATTCATCAAACCAACATATTTACACTGAAAATACACACACGATTTTTTTAATTCTCACAGAAACATACAGTTAAGTTGCTTTATACCTTTGGTCTCAAAAAAAAAAAAAAACAGAAAAAATAGCCAAGGGAGGAGTCTGTTACTAATCACAATTGGCATCTGATGAAAGGGAACATTGTATGATGAATAAATTAACTTTTATGTGTGTGGTGCTGGGGATTGAACACATGACAGGCAAGCACTCTACCAACTGAGCTATATCCCCAGCCCTGAGTAAATAAATTAATATCAAAAGGTCAAATATCAACTTTTAAAATTCCATGATTTTCTTAAGTAAATTAAAAAAAACATTCAAGCCTAAGCTTTTCCTTTCTCCAATTATATTTCTTGCACTGTTCAATATACCTTTGGCAGAAGAATCTGAATTTTCCATGTAGGAGTCCCATGAGAACAAATTAAACGACAAGTGAGCAAGGCCTATTGCTAGACATTGCATGTGCTACATTAGCTACCAAAGTTACAGGTATGCCCAACTCCTTTTCCTTGATTCTCCTCTGAACTACAAGTTTCTGGTTACTTCAATCACAACTGTCATTATAATAATAATACCCTGCAGTTAGCAAATTGTATTTGAAAAGTGCGCTCTTAGAAAACCAAAGTAAAAGGGAATCTCATCCACGGAGGGCATCCTGGGACTCACTGGCCCTCACCACACACATTCCTAAGCCTGAAAGGATTTCACAGGTGGAGGGAGAAGTAGACAGGAGAAGCAAGGGGCAAGTGTAGTTCCCCACACCCATCCCTCCCTCACTCCAACCCCATCTCCACATTTCCCACACAACATCCACAGACTCAGGTTTTCATTGGCTCTTGGCTTCAACTACATCCATTCAAAGGTGCTCTCTGATTTTCAAACTGCATGACTATTTTGACATTAAAATCACTATCACAGGTACCTTGACCATTTCTGAACGAACCATTTGATTCCCAACTCATGCTTCATCTCAGGCTTTTTCCCCTCTGCCATTGGCCTTGAAATATTTATATTTCTTTCCTTTGAAGATAATTTTTCACTTATTTTACCCCTGATGTTTAGGGAGTACTGTTTTGGGCTTTTCCCCTCTTATGTGCACTTTTAATTACACTTTATCAAATAATTCAAGTATACATAAAAGTACAAAGAATAACATTAACATAATGAACACCCATGTACCAACTGTGTACCAACTTAGCAAGAAATTAACATTTTGCCATATTTACTTCAGCTTCTTTTGCAGAAGTTTGTTACAGTTGACATCCACTGTGTTAATTATTTTCCCTCCTTTTTCCCCAGAGATAGCCACTCCCCTGGTGTTTAACATGCCCATGCATTTTTAAAACATTTTAATACATTCTCTGTATTAAGAATATGCATATTGTTTTGCATGTTTTTAAACATTATATAAATGGCATCATACTGTACAAATCATTCTGCAACTTGCTTTTTTTCACCAACATTGCATTCATTATAACTGCCATTGAGAATTCCATTGTATGAATATACCATAATTTATTTATCCATTCCCCTACTGATGGACATTTAGGTTGTTTCCATTTCTTTACTCTTACAAACAATGCTATATATGAAGGCTTGTACATATCTTCTTGAGTACACATTGAGAGTTTGGAAGGGATGACCCTAGAAGTGGGCTGCAGAATATGCACATCTTCACCTTGTCAGATTTCTCTCCAAAGTGACTGTACCAATTTACACTTTCTCCAGCCGAGTATGAAAGTTTCCTTTGTTCCACATCCTCTCAAACACTTGGTATTACGAAGTTTTTAAGTTTTTGCCAATCTGATGGATATGAAAAAGAAACTTGTAGTTTTTAATCTGCATGTCATGTAAGGATAATCATGTCCTCATAAATGTTTATTGACTATTTGGATCATTTGTTTTTAAAAATTATCAACTTTCACATTTCCTTTTTACTCTATCATCACCTTTCCATAGTGAATAATAATAAAGACTCTGCATCCAGGCTGTCTGGACTCAAACACTGGCTCCATCACGTATACCTTGTATCCTTTATTTGGGCTCTCTATGTGTAAAGAGGCAGCAGCACCTACCTCACATGGTTGTGAAGGTTTTATAAGTGAATTTACATAAAGTATTCACAACAGCACACCCATGTTGTTAGACACAGTACTATTATTTTTACCCTTTTAGAGAATAAAATTGCCAAAGTTATTCCTTAAAATTTGATTTTTAATGTCCCAATTTATATTTACTAATCTTTTAGAATTAAATTATTTTAGAAGTTTCAGCATTTGTTACTTTAATCCTTTTATTCCTCTTTCCTAATTTTAATTTTAAATGTTCCATTTCTGATCTCTTACAGCTCAATCTTTGCTTTTACAATAGCGGAGAGGAAGCCTGGCCTTCTGGAATAACTGAGGACTGCATTCTTGCCCAAACTAGTGGAAGGAGGATGCTTTATCCCCACAGATGCTCAGCAGGATTCCCATGGCAGAACTAGCATCCCTCTGATTCGAGAGCTTCAAAACATCTCAACCTTGGTAACTCAGCTAAAAGCTATTCTCAGGACATAGGTCCTCCTATGTGAGTGGCACATTTCAATTACTGACAACATGTTCTTTTCTTAAGGTTCATCACTCTAATCATTTTGATCAGGAGTGATACTATGGACTCTGAAAACATTCACCCTACATTACAAGCAAATGACATAAACAATGTGTAAGAAGGTAGGAAACACCAATAAAACTGGTGTGGCATAGCTTCATACATTAAACAGGCATCCAGTACATATTGGTGATTGCCTAATAAAGAACAAAGGGTTCTCAATGCTGCTGACCTGGCTCTAGTGAAAATATAGATGGCATTCAACAAATAAGCTATAACATCAGGAAGGAGGTACAAGAATACCCTGCTCTTGGCCTTTACATCACCAAGCTACCTGATTCTGTGTTTCTATTTTCATGCACCTCCTGTTGTAGCAGGGGTTGAGGAGGATCCTCCTTGTGAGTCACCCTGATTTGCCTCTCAGCTTTCAGAGCTCAAGTGTAGGTGACTTTCTGCCCAGCAAGTTTCAGACTGGCACCTCAATTTTCACAAGAGGCTAGCCAAGTTGCAAACCTATTCATCTGATCTTGAAAGTATACAGATTCACCTTCAAACACCACAGAATATCTGCAATTCTGGACCTAGCCAGAGGCAATAACCTAAAGACATTTGCAGCTCATTTCTTGTCAGAACCAGTTGAGGACAGTGGTATTGATGGAAGACTGTGTCAAGCCCATCCATTCCTCTAGTCTAGTTAGCCTCGGATTATCCACGGCTTAAGCCATCTAAAAGCTGCATAACGTTAATACAGCGGTATTCTCCAAGGTGGTTGGATTACTGGTGATTTTTATTTTCTTCTTTTTAAACTCTGGTATTTTCCAAATTTTCTACCATGAGAATGTGTTCTGTTTATAATAAAAGAAAAACACAATAAATGTTATTTTTAAAGCTACATACTTGGAATATATTGTCTTCCCCACCCCCACCTTCCCACATCCCAACGTAAGTGCTTTTACTGAAAAACAATTGAAATCATGTTCTCAGTTTTCTTGACATCACAAAAACACTTGTGAAACCCAAAACTTTATTTTCAGAGGTTTTTTTTTCCCCTATAAAGAGCAATGTTGCTAGAATTTTTTTTAGCTCTTATCATTCAATCAACATTATTAGTAAGCCATTTAAGAAATTTCCTTCAGAAGGAACCATGAGGAGAAAAACTCATTCCAGCAATTGGTGTACTGGGGCTTTGTAAATAATGAAAATTATGTAACTTGCCAAGTTTTCCTTTTTCATTCTAAGCAACAGGAGATCAGGGTCAGATATGAATTATTAGTATTTCTACATGCCCATATACCTATGTAGCCTTGTTTTGACAAAAACAAGCTCTGAATTGATTTTCTGATTTATTGTGTTTTGAATATTCTACTGTGTGAATATATTCTTCAGCATACCCCAAACCTTTCTTACAGTAAAGTATTACATAATTAAATATAACAGTCTACATGTTCAATATTAATTCTTATAATTAATTTCTTAAATTTTTAAAACTGACAAGGCAATAAAATCATGGTAGAGTATCTACATCAATCTTTCTCAATAAGTAAATATATTCAACATAAGAAATTAAGAATTAGTTATGATTCCACTCTCATAGTAATATTATTAAGTTTATGTGCTTTCTTTCACTTATGAAGGATATTTACTTAATTTTTCATACCAAGACAAATAGAAGAAAAGAAGACAGTAAAAATATTTCTTCCAAAACAGATTAATTAATAGCGCAAAAGGACATAGTATATTATAGGTGTTATAAACACAGACTTTGACATCATCTAAGATCTGTGTTCAAATTAGCATCAGTACTCACTAGTGGTATGAGCTGAGCTGGTCACAGGTAAAGTGTGAAGAATAATATAACCTACCTATTAAAGTTGCTGTGAGACTTAACGTGAAGCAATTAAAACAATGCAGGACATATGACAAAAGCTTGCACTCAGTCAGCTGCCGCAGGTACAGTTAGTATATATACAGCCTACTACACTCTCTTTTTAACAATTTTTAACTATTTTTGGAAAAAAAAAAGGGGGGAAGGGGGTTTCTTGCATACCAGAAATGTCTCCCCCAAAATGGGCATTTAGCATAACAATTCAATGATTGTGGTACTTTAACCAACTTACCTAAACTGTCCAGTACGAAGAAAGCAAAGAGCTCGGTTACCATAAAGAAGGTGGTTTTCAGGTCTTAAAAAGAAGTAACATTTGGTCAGTAAATCACATTACATATGAAATAAACATACATTACACTGAAAACAGGCATGAAAAAAGTTTTTAAAACTTTACATTTTCATGGCAGAGCAGGAAGAATACAAGATTTGGAACTTAACTGGGTAAATCTCACTTCATTACTTCCCCAGTAGCCTTCTTTAAAACCAACCTAAACTATCCTGTGTTCAAACTGAAGAGAATCCTTGCTCTGTCCAGCTCACAGGACTATTGTCAAGATCAAATAAGACATCTTATTAAAAAGTTAGTCAACTACAATGTATGCTGTAACTACAGAGGACAGGATCATTATTTCAGGGATATGCCACCTTGACAAAGAACTCCAGGCAAAAGGAGCTTGGAAATTGCAACAGTAACGTTAAGTAGCTTCATTTCAAATTTTGATCTTTTTAGTTTTGTCTGACAGTATAAAGCCAGAAATTATTTTCTTCCACCTTTTTCTCAATAGAATAGAGTAGCAGTCTTGGGGCAGCATGTTGACTAGATTGATTCATTCCCCCTGGGGACGAGCAAGGTAGGAAAGGGAGAAGTTACGAACACCCCAACCTTCAAAGGCTGCTATAATATTAGGTGGCTCACCTGAAGTGGCCATTAGGAACAGAATAGCACACCTGGGGGGAAGACTACAAAATTCCAGCAGCTGAGTACCAAAACCAGGTAGAAAAGAACACATGCATCCTCAACCATTCCAACTATTTTTCCTTTAAAAGTTTCCTCTAAGAAAGCAAAACCTCCTAAGTAGGTAGCATTTTAAGTATTAGGAACTAATCCTTTTTGATCAGTTAATAATTTATAAGGAAGTAGTTGACAGCAAAAAGAGAAAAAGACAATAACAGGTGACTCTGCTGGAATGCCTTAAGAAAATGGAGCAAGGCAGAACCAAATTCACCACTGCACCTGACTTGCTTGAGTTGCAGGATTTAATCAGTTCCAAATACTCAGGTTACCTCCAAGCTACTAATAACTAAAGATAAAAAATAAAAATCTATTATGCATATCAAATTGGAAGATTCTACAATTCTTGATCTTATTTTTATTTATCCTAATATTCTAACTTGAGCTGCCACACAAAAAGGATCTCATTGCTCTGTTTTGTTCTTACCTATATTCAATGGCTCTGGTGTAATAGATAATAGCTATATCAAATCTTTCTTTGGAAAACTCTTCATTTCCTTTCATTTTCATTAGTTCTCCTTGCTGAGAAACCAAGGTGAAAGAAGACCCATCAATTAGCTCCAAAGACAATCAAGAAACCAATACCTAGGAAAAATGGATCTGGGTTTCCATCTTTAATATCAAAAATAAGCTAGAGGATTATTTATATAGAAAAGGAGAATGTAATATCCAATATTTTGGGATGTACAGTTGACCCTCAATATCTATGGGTTCTGCAACTGCAGATTCAACCATATGCAGATCAAAAACTTTTGGAAAGACCAAAAAGGGTCTATAGGAACATGTACAGACTTTTCTTCTTGTCATTTCCCCTAAGCAATACAGTACAACAACTATTTACATAGTATTTACAGAGTACTAAGTATTATAAAGTGATCTAGAGATTATATTTAAAGTATATGGGAGCAAGTGTACAAGGTATAGCAAATACTAAACCATTTTTTATGAAGGATTTGAGCTCCGGCAGATTTGGTACCAGATAGGATCCAGGAACCAATCTCCCTCAGACACTGAGGGACAAATGTATATTAAAAGAAACCTTTCTCTAATAACTCCATATTAACTTGTTAAGAAATATTAAAAAGCAAGGAAAACCAACACAATGTGAATAATTTCTAAAATAATTTTTCCCTCACGTGCAGTATTCGGCAGACCCATTTTTAAATATATTTTTCCATATGGGACAGCAAACTAAAAATGAAATGCAAAGTAGAATTTTAACTTTATGTTAGCAAATGTGATATTATTCAATAAACCTTAATGCTTAAAAATATATAAACTGTAATAAAGGTAATACAGACTAGATTAACTACCAAAAATCACCTGGCAGGTTAGTAAGAACATGTGTGTTCTTTAACACAGGTTACTGGGGGACTGTGGACATAGCTCAGTTGGTAGAGTGCTTTCCTCTCATCATGCACAGGGCCCTGGGTTCAATTCCCAGCACCACAAAAAAAAAAAAAAAAAAAAGTTACTGATATATTCAAAACTTTTCAATTCAAATTTTTAAAAACAAATTAATTAAAATAAATTAGATATCAATAGCTCTAGAGAACTTAATTGAACATTAAATGTCTCCCCAAATCTTTTTTAAAAAATTGAATTAAGGGGCTGGGGTGTGGCTCAGGGGTAGCATGCTTGCCTAGCATGCATGAGGCACTGGCTTTGATCTTCACCATCACATAAAAATAAATATAAATAAATAAATAAAGGTATTGAGTCCATTTACAACTTTAAAAAAATATTTTTTTACAACTTGAATTAGAATCATTATTTCCTCTGAGTGAACAGGTGAATTACATTACATCTCAATAAAAATGTTATCAAGGAAAATCATTTCTTCAAATCATTAAAGGATGATAAAAAATCAAATTTTTAATTTTTTAATAATCTGCTTTAAAATCATTAAAAATTTCAGATTAAGGTATTCTCTCTTCTTCCAAATCAAAATTTATTAAAATTTTCCATCAAACATATTATTAAATCTTACAATAGTTCCTTAGATACTGTCAACAGGTTTTTATTTTGTTTTTTTGGTACCAGGGATTGAACCAAGGGGTATGTTTTTTTGGAACCAGGGATTGAACCAAGGGGTACTCAACCACAGAGCCACATCCCCAACCTTCATCAGGTTTTTTAATGAACTTCCTCTGAGTGTTAAAAGTTCTAACAAGCAAATCTATTTTTTTTAAATTGTTGATGGGTCTTTATTTTATTTATTCACATGCAGTGCTGAGAATCAAATTCAGTGACTCACACATGCTAGGCAAGTGCTCCAACACTGAGCCCCAACTCTATCCCAAAAATGAACTCTTTCTTTTTTAAAAAATATATTTTTTAGTTGCAGACAGACATAATACCTTTATTTTATTTATTTATTTTATGTGGTGCTGAGGATCATACCCAGTGCCTCACAAGTGCTAGGCAAGTACTCTACCACTGAGCCACAGCCACAGCTCCCCCAACAAGCAACTCTTAATACATATTTACCGATAAATATTTATCCTCACCTCCATACACTCCGCACAATTTTGGGTTTTAAATTCTTCAAGTAAATTGCAGTTTTCCGTTACAACTTTAGTTATGTGATACTTGTCTAAGTTTTATTTTTAGGAGAGAATGAGAGAGAATATTTGTTAAAAAAAAAAAACTGGTACTCACAAAATTCTAATTCTTAGGTTAAGTAAGTGAATTCATAAAGTTTATTATATTTTCTAAATACCCTGTTTCTTATAATCTTTCATGTGTATTAAATATTTTAGAAATAAACAACTTATAAAACGTATAAAACGTTGCATAAAACAGATGCTTGCAGTAAACCTAATCTCTTTTTATTAACAATTAAAGAAAACCACTTATTATTACACTATGTTATTATAACAAATACTTTTGTCATAACACATTCAAAATAGGTCTCATAATTACTCAAGTCAATTGAACAAATATTATCAAATATCTACAGTACACCAGGTACAATGTTCAATAAAATTGTATAAAAATAAAACCCTAGAGAATATTTTTCAAAATGTATTCAATATAGGGTTGGGGATAGAGCTCAGTTGGTAGAGTGCTTGTCTCACATGAACAAGGCCCTGGGTTCAATCCTCAGCACCACAAATAAATAAAACTGTATTCAATATAATAAGTGAGTATTTAAAATGAATAGTAGACTCTTCAAAAAAAGAAATGTTAACAAAAAGAAGTTTGAAATACTATTCTTACAAAAATCCTTATAAAAATATTCTTATAAAATAAACTAATTTAAACACAGATATCCAAACTGTGAAAAGTTTATCAGGCCTCATTTTTCTACATTTTAAGCTATTATATAAAAAGGATTTTTTAAAATATAATACATTTTTTTATTGCAACAGACTAACAATTATGCTTCTAGCAAAACATTAATTTCTAGGGTGAAAAGAATACCTAAAATTTAAGATTCAAGAAGGAACTGGGAAGGTCACCAAATAAAGTAGTACTAAGGGACAGAACAAGGTTGCTGGAGGAAAACATGAGCTTTGAGGTCAGAGACCTGACTTATCTAAGTTCTACTACTTACTAGACTGTAGAAATCTCTCATAAGTCTTAGATTGTTCACTTCTACAATTGAGAATAATAGGCTGGGCATGGTGGTGCACGCTATAATCCCAGCGACTCGAGAGGCTGAGATAGGAGGATCACAAGTTCAAAGCAAGCCTCAGCAAAAAAGACACTAAGCAACACAGACCTTATCTCTAAAAAATAAAAATACAAAAAAAAAAAAGGCTAGGGATGTGGCTCACTGGTCAGGCCTGTGAGTTCAATCATCAGTACCCCCGCAAAAAAAGAGAGAATAACAGCCACCCCACAGGGCTATTATGAGAGAATCAGAAATGGGCCCACAATAGTGGCAATACATGATATTGCTTCTCCACCTCTACCCTAAAACCTAGTCCAGAATCAGAGGCTTTCAAAACAATGAAGAGAATAACCTCTATCAGTATAATACATGCCACTATCTATTGAGCCTAACAGAAAGAGCTTTATTTAATTCCTCTCTATTATTTAAGTCAATAGACAAATCTTCCCACTTCACAATGGAGATTGCAGATTATGGATTATCATCAACTAAAGAGTCAAAACATTTTCTGTGCCAAGATTCCTATAAAGTATACTCTAAAAAATTTACTGCTGGGCTGAGGATTTGGCTCAAGCGGTAGTGCGCTCGCCTGGTATGCGTGCGGCCCGGGTTCGATCCTCAGCACCACATACAAACAAAGATGTTGTGTCCGCCGAGAACTAAAAAATAAACATTAAAAATTCTCTCTCTCTCTCTCTCTCCTCTCTCACTCTCTCTTTAAAAAAAAAAAAAATTTACTGCTGATATTCAAATGCTTTAAAGAAAATCATTTCAGGGCTGGGGACATAGCTTAGTGGCGGAGGACTTGGCCAGCATGCATAAGGCCCTGGATTCAATCCCCAGCACCACAAAAAAAAAAAAAAAAAGAAAGAAAGGAAGGAAGGAAGGAAGAAAAACACTTCAGAAAACTGGAGAAATACGTAAGGCTATTTCTCCATACATAAAAGAATAGCTGATTTATCAAGAAAATGAAAATCATAATTTTAGCTTATGTTATTTTCTCATATGAATAAAAAGACATGGGCCCAGTTGTGAGCTCTTTATTTGAGTATTACATATTATAACTTATGACAACTATTAGATAGGATTTTTAAAGTATGATGCCACAATAATCTGAATGGTAAAACTAACTGTAAGGTTTAAGTTCTCTTATTCAAGTTATACTCCAGGTATGGATAATATGTCAAAATATACTCTGTCACTACAAAAAGAATAAAAATAAATAAATAAAGGAAATTAAAAAATAAAGTTCTTTTATTTCATATACAGAAGAAAAACACTATAAAGAAAAACATTTTTAAATGCTGCTAGAATAAATGAGAAATCATATAATTATGTATTCCATTTTCCCAAATAATACCTTTAAAAACTGAGTTAACAATTTAAAGAACTTATACTTACATTCAGTGAAGAAAATACTTAACATAGACCAACAATTGTCGATTAATCCTAATTTAGGTAGAATTGTTGTATCGCCTGTGTATTTTACCCAATTTAAAGCTTCTTCCATTGCCAAAATTTTCTGTTTCAAAAAGAGGAAAGAAGAATGATACTCAAGTATTCTGTGGCAATATATATTTATCTCAATCAGTATTTCAAACCTTTATACAAAACTTATGTATTTTCATTACTCCATCACACAATAGAGGATAACTGGACTACAACATACAAGTTAACAGAATCTGTGGACTCACGTGTTCCATCTTTGGGTGACCTCGGGCTACCCTCAGAATTCAAAATGCTTTTGCAATGATTACAGACCTGAAAGCTGAGGTCTACAACCTGGTCAAAGGCTGTCCTTTGCAGTATGAGAGTACAAATTTACAAGGTAGAAAAGAAGTCTCAAATCTCAATTAGACTAGGACTTCCCTCTTTACCCTAAGGTTAAAGGTATAGATTAAAGTTCTCCACAGGGACTACATATTTTACATAGTCTGTGGCAAAAAGAATTATTATGAGATAATCAATACTATGACTAGGCAAATGGATGCTCAGAGCATTGATTCTCATGAAGGGTCAAGAGTTAACAGAAATGTTTGTTCTTTTAATGTATGAAATAACCTCAGAAATTAAATAGCTGAGTTGCCACTGCTGGTATAAGGCTTAAAGGAAACATGAAGACATTTCTTTCACCAGTACCATTAAAATCTGGTTTATCACTGCATCTGAGGATTATCTAGTAATTATACAGTAAAAATATTCATACTGGGGACCTAATAATTTCATTTGGGGGAATATATGCTAGGAAAACAATCTAAAAGAGAAGAAAAAACTTGTAACATATATGGGTAAAAAAAAATGTAATGAAGCAAACCTGCAAAATGAGATTACACTGAGTAAAATATAGAAACCATACTACCAAATATTACATATAACTTTGAATATATGGTCTCAGTACATGGGAAAATGGGCAGTGATGTGACTGCCATTTATTCAGTGGGTGAGCAGGGTTTCCACATTTAACACTTACATTTTCTATTTTATAACCAATTCTCAATAAGCCTTCGATAAGGAATGAATCATTCTGCAAAATAAAAAAAAAGAACAAAAAAGCATTTTTTCCTTATTCCTGGATTTTGTAATAGAAAAAAAAATCTCCATTTTAGGAATAGTCTTGTGTTGCATAATGACAATTTCCATCAATGATGAGCCAAATGGGACATTGGTCCTAAAGATTATAACAGAGTTTAAGATTTTTATTACCTAATGACATTGTAGCTATGGTGACATCATACATACCACAATAAAATGTACTGCTCACAAGCTTATGTGATGCTGATATAAAACTTACTGCACTACCAATTATATTAAAGAATAGTACAGATAATTATATATAACACTTGATAATGATATTAAACAACTACATTACTGGTTTATGTAACTGTTATTTTAGAGTGTACTGCTACTTATTGAAATAAAAAAAAAGACTTCACTGTAAAGTAGCATGCCATATGTCAGCAACAGTCACAACTTGTGTTTGCTTTGTCTCTTAATTGCATTAAGAGGCCACATCTAGTGACTAATCTACACCATCTGGATCTGTGTAAGTATACTATATGATACAACAAAACCATTTGATGGTGCATTCCTCAGAATGTACCCCAATCATTAAATGATGTGTAACTGTATTATATAGTAGTATATTTTCCACAAGCACTTACATGATCAATTTACCCCTTAAGAGCTCTAAAACAAGAATTCATCAAAAGTCTTCCACAAGGCTCTAGTAATAAACTGATTTTGTGTAAATTTTAGATGTGTAGATTTTTAAAGTTCATTAAACCTAGGTTTTCTAGCAAGGCACATTGGCTGGTTTGTTACTGTAATGAGTTATCAGCAGAAATAAACACCAGAATGCTTTCTAAATTTAAGTTCACAGTCAGAATAAAAACAAGTATAACACCTGGCTCCATAACCAACTGAAATAAGAAAAATTATCAAATGGCTTTTTAAAAGAGAGAGGAGGTCAAGGCAGAAGGATCACGAGTTCAAAGCCAGCCTCAGCAAAAGCGAGGTACTAAGCAACTCAGTGAAACCCTGTCTCTAAATAAAATACAAAACAGGCTGGGGATGTAGCTCAGTGGTTGAGTGCCCCTGAGTTCAATTTCCCACCCCCAAAAGAGAGAGAATCACCATAGTACAAAGACACCTCCTCAAATCTATCCTGATAAATTTTATCCCAAAGGCAAAGTATTTGTCAACAGTGGTATGTTTTTATGTCAAAAGACAGAGTTCGTTTACTTTTAGAACCTGTGATTAAGGTTTCTATGAACCAGGGCCCTCTTTCATTTGTGACAAATTCTAATTTCTCTCCTTTAATATCAAGAAGCTGTCCTGGTCCATTATGGCATGGCAGAACCAGGACATTGGTCATCAACGTTATCACTTCCATACCATGCACACTCTGACAGCAGAATAATCTCAGGTAAAGAAAACTGAAAAGCTTTGTTAACTGCTATAAACTGGTAACACAGTTTATAGCAGTTAACAGTTAACAACTGACACTCTATATTTACATTCTTTGGAGGCGGGGCTACATTCTACCACTTACCGCAACTTTCTTTGCCAAATCCACAATATCTTCCATCAACTCAAGATATTGTAATTTCTTCAAACTTATCTCAGAGGCACGAGAACTGTTTAAAGACAAATTTATTTTTGGAAAGATTACATTCTCATATATACAAATTCACTGAATTTTATGCTTATATTATAAGCTATCTGACAAAAACATTCAGTTCTTTTCTCCACTCTGGGTAACGTAAGTAAGGAGTTTATTAAATGGACCAAACCATATATCCTCTCTCTCTCAGTTCTATACCACTGACATTTATAAAAGTATTTTAATTTTTCCTGACTTAACTTCAAGTCTACATCTAATACTATTCAGAATTATTTCATTATAATGTTATAAATTTTCTTTCATATTCAAATTCCAAGAATTTACTTTTTCTACCTGTTAAACAAAAGCAAAACTGAACAGCATATTAGAATGAAGAATAAGCCAAGTGTGGTGGCATATGCCTAAAATCCTAGCTACTCCAGATGGTGAGGCAGGAGGATTTCAAGTTTAAGGCCAGCTTAAACTTTGTTTAGCTAGACTGCATCTCAAAATAAAATTTTTAAAAAAGGGTTGAAGGTGTAGCTTGTCAAGCACGGGGGAGACCCTGAGTTCAACCCACAGTACCACCAAAAAAAAAAAAAGAATCAGGTATAAGCCTTCCATTGTATTTGGCATTCCTTGGCACTGTGCAACATGCTTATCACTGCTCATCCAAAATGAATAACATATAGTGACTTACGTGGTCTCCACACAGGGATGTAATCGTGATATTACAGAACTGTGCTGATGTTGAAAAAGAAGTGGCCAGAAGATATTCATTTTAATGGCATCACAGTAATCTTGCAGGACAGAAAGTGGTTTACTACACCATATATTGCAGATGTCAAATTCTTAATTAAAATAAAAAAGTTTAAAATTAATATTTGTGCCCTGATTTTTAATGAATCAACACTGCTATACAGAAAAGGTAAAAATGGATATGAGAAAACAAGAAATGAATTAATGTTTTAAACTGCTAGATGTTAAGAATATTTAAGTGTTGGCTAAAACTCAATTTACAAAGAAAGATTTTGGTTTCCAGGAAAAAAAATAGTAAGAATCTATTTTTAAGAAGACATATAAATCTGATTTGTTGATATGACTAGATAAATCACCTCCATTTGTGGTCCATCAATAAATTAACGTTAATATGTCAACATGCTCACCTAAATGTTTCTCGCTTTGGGCATAATCTTTATACTTCATACCCTAAAAAAAAGAAAATTATTTTGACTTGCAACTGGTAAAATACACAAGTATACTTTTTTGACTTTTAATCAATGGATTAGCAGAACTAAACTGAAAAAAAATCTAATGTACATTTACTTATATGCTTTGAATATATCTGTAGCCAGTGAGTCTTAATTTAAGGCCTTTTTCATGTTTCCTGAGTTTCTTATTCAAGAGTTTTTCTAATTCTCAGAAAGCCGCCTCATGTCTTCACTTATTCTCTGAAATCTATTCTTATTGTTGAGGCACAGCTTATTTCTTTTGAATAATAACCTCTTCAAAAGCATGTGTTCCTTCTTATAAACACACACACACACACACACACACACACACACACACACAATACACACACAAAATCTTTACTTAAATGCCCTAAATCAGAAAGCCTTTAGGATATACCATGTTAAAAACAAAACTTTAACAAACCCACTTACCACTCCATCACAATAAAGCTGAGTCACACGAACATAGTCATCTGTAGTATATTCAGGAGCAAAGACACAATCATCTTCGTAAGGGCTATCTTCCAACAATGCATAATCCGCCACAGTGAAGTCTCCATCAGTAAAATTGTCCATGGCACACAATCCTAAGGAAATAACATACATCCAATTCAGTAATTAAATCATTTGAGATGACATGAGCAGCATTCTTCCTGGCTTCTATAGTATAACTGAAAAATACTTAAAACCTATGCTTCAAGGAACTCCAATCAGAACACTGATTTTTGTCCCCATTCTGTGATTCTCCCCCCATTCTCTCCCAATAGTTTTATCTGCTTCTTCCTTTCCTCAGACTCAGATATTCACCATCACTACTCTGAACTTATCTGTTTACATGTATCCCTTAGATGGAAGATAAGGGCACTGTTATTTACTTTGTATGTGCCTAGCATACAGTAAGCCTCAAATGACTGCTCAAAATAGAAAGGCATCTTCCCACTGCTGCACTCTTACTCCACCTGCTTTTACTGCATCCCATGTTTTACCATACATGAAATGCTATATTCTCAATTTCCTGGCCTGAACTAAATCCTTACCACTGAGAAACAGTTTCCTATCAGTGCTCATACTCTGCTATGTGTCTCTCAGCATCTCTCCAACTTGGAGAAAGGGGCAAGACCAGAGTGGTCCAGGGTGAGTCTTTCAAATCTCTTCCAGACATTCAGACATGAATGGATGTCCACATCCAGACATGCCATCTTGTAACTACACCTTCTTCTAATAGTCTCCCAACTACCACAACACAGAGCACTGCTAGACTACAAAGGAGGAAAAAAACCTCACATTACCAAGACACATGTTTTAAAAATATTTATTTCAATGGGGGAAAAGGGAAACTAGGGCCAGAGTTTTAGACTAAGGTTTTGAGTTTTTTTCCCCTGAAAAAAAAGTTCAATAATGAGGATTTTTAGAGCTCTCAGAGAACAGCTACACTAAATATCACTGAAAAATTCATTTTACTACTTCTAACTCTTGCCCAAATAAAGGCTTTCTTTTTCTACCATCACCAGCACCATGATTAACACCATTTCTTACACCTTTTCACTTTCACTATTATCCCATTATGATTAGAACTAGTAAAGCTTCTTTTTTCCTAAGCAAGACCACCATCAATCCTTGAAATATTTCTTCAATAAATCCTTCTTATTATATCCAATTTAGTATATTAAAACCTTGCAATATCTAAAGTGAAGAACAGAAACAGGCTTCCTAGCAAACTCTTTGTACAATGTGTCAAAATACTGCACTAAGTGCTTTACAAGCCATCATCTCATTCTCATAACAATTCTTAGTAGCCCCACATGCCAACATCTCCACTATAAAAATGGGAAAATAGTCTCAGTAAAATTAAGTAATCTGATCAAGGTCACCAATCTAGAAAAAATCCACACTCAGCCTTCTGATTCCAAAGTCTCTTTTCTCAAACACTATATTTTACATCCAATTTTCCTTGTCATTGCCAGCTATTTACCTCTTGGCACTGTCATGTTTAAGGATCCTGGCAACTAGTTCCCCCCCTCTCTTCTCCTCCAAATTCCATCACTTATTCCAACCATATCAAGGCCCATTGAGACAATACCCTAGCCTTGAATTTCACTGTTTACCTCACCAGACTATTCCTTCTCAGGGCCACAACTGGAGACCACTGTCCATGTCTAAAACACTTTTTAATTCCTTTACTCACTCATCTTCCCTCTGACCACATCAAGGGTCATTACAGCTAGCATCTTCTGTCTCCTCTTACAGCCATTCAACTTCATCAAGAACTTTTCTTCATTTTTCTCCTATTCAAATCCTCCATTCTTACTCATTTTCAGTTCCTACAATTTGGTTTCCATTTCTACCACTCAAGGGAAATTGTTTTCAATAAAGTCATTAGTGATCTTCTATAAATAGACTGGCTATCTATAATGTCTGGAACTTGTCCTATTCTGCATGAACAATATTTCCAAAGTTTAAAGAATTTAACTGTAAAAGTGAACAATGGCCATAAAAAAATAGACATCATAGTACCCAAAGTAAGGCACATAAAATGAGATAAATGTTATCTCAAGAAATATATATACTTTTGAATTCACTTTTCTTACAAATGTTTTTGTTATAAATACAGAAAGAGCCAAGAACTGTCATAGCCCACATATCGCCATCATGGCACTGATTACAAAACCACTGGCTGACTCAGCCATGATGCTGGTCATTTAAGCCTGGCAGATCTCATGATACCACAAACAGCACCAATTGTACTGTAATTATAATATTGGCATTATTTTTTTTTCTATTTTGTTTTAACTAGAGAGGCAATGTGGCAAAATGGTTAAGAGCATGGACTCTGGGGCCAGAATGCCTGGGCTTGAGCCCTGACTCACCCATTCCTTTGATGTGTCACCTTGGGCAAGTTTCTTAACTTCTCTGGGCTTCTGTTTCCTCATATCACATCAAGTGGAGAAAATGATACTACCTACCCAATTGATTAGTTAATATGTATAAAGTGCTTTGAAGAGTACTGAGCATGTAGGAAATGCTATAAATACCAGCTATTATTAACACTAATATTAATTTTTTTAAACTACTGTTTGGATGCTTCCAACTAAATGGTCTACCTTAATTGCTAAATCCAAAGAGGACTTTTCAGCTTACAACTTACTTGACGCTGAAGACCACTTCCTCCTTCTCAGAACTCTTCATTTGGACTCCAAAGACCATCTTCTGGTTCTCCTCCTATTCGTCTGGCTGCTCTTCCTCAGTCTCCTTCATGGGCTCTTCTTCTCCATTCCCCGCCACCCAAATGTCAACTCTCTTTTCTTCTCACTCTTACTCTTTCCTTGGTGACCTTATCCACCATACCCAGGGCTTAAAACAGCACTTTCTGAACTTTATTTGCATAGCTTCACCATGATTGTTGCCATTTCCATATATCACATGTACTTTTACTAATATTTTCCTTTCATTGTACTCACTTGGCCTAAGTGATAATGTCCATGATGTCATAGGTTTGATCCACAAGTTATGTTTTTCATACACATAAAATCCTAACTATTAAAAAATTTCAAGTGCTTATCCATGTACCATTTAAAATTATCTCATATGGTACTGTAGGAAAACAATGGCTTCCAAACTGCCAAATGCTAAAATCCCAAATCCTTCTCTTAACTTCTAGACCCTCTGTGCCAATTGCTATTGGATCTTAACCAAGATGTCCCACAAGCCCCTCAGTAAGTTTCAGTAAGTTGAAAAACAAACAACTTTTTCCTCAAAAAAAAAAAAAAGAAAAAAAAAGCAAATGAAACCAAGTTCTTTCCTCTTTCTGTATGCTATTTATCAGTTAATTGCTCTACATGCCACATGGTTACTCAAACCAAAAATCTGGGGGTCAATCTAGACTCCCTATTTTCCTCAACATTTCTATCCAACTGACCACTAAGTCCTCAATTTCTTCTTCCCCAAGATCTAAATTTAGCACACACATACCTCTTCATGTCCAGTGCCACCGCCTTAGTTGTACCTTTACCTTTATTCCTCTCAAAAATGCATAAATGATCTCCTAACTGTGGTTTACTGTCAAACCTGGTATCCTCTAAAACACTGATCATATAATACTACAGCAGAAAATCATTCAACAGCTTTCCTTCATTATCAGAATAAAGTCCAACCTCCTTACTACAAGCATAGGTTTCATGTGATCCTATTCCTGTTTCTATCTCCAGTCACTTCGTGACATATAACATGGAAGCTAGTCATACCCAACTGCTCATCATTCCTAAACAAACCTTACTCTGTGACCACCTAGTGCCTACCAATCCTTGACACTCAATTCTAGGAAGCATTTTCCAAAGTACCAAGTTTATTTTTGCACTTATACTCTACAAGCCTAGAGCACCCTGCCCACTCCTGACACAGTTCTTACACTATTTGATCACCACAGGTTCATCTCTGTAAGGTCACTATGGGTCCAGAGGATACACTGTGCAGTCTGCTTACCACCTGTACTATTAATTATTTAATATCTCCCTTCAGAATAACCCAGCCTTTTAAACAAATTTATTTTAATAGAAATTGATAACATAAGGAAATACTATGTTTGATACAACAAGTTTTCTAATTCAAGCTAAATATATTACTAAAATTAATCTTAAAATACATTTCTGATCACATCAGTTATGATGAACTAGATTCTGAAGGACACTACCAATGCAAGAAAAGCAGATCTTGGATTTTTTAAAAATACTTTTAAGTAATTTCAGCTCACGGAAATACATTTCAGGAGACCCTCTCCCCCAAAAAAAGCAGCAAACTTTTAGACAGGAACTTGGCAACCAAAAGCAGTAAGTAGTAGAAAAAGAGATCTTGGATTTTTTAAAAATACTTTTAAGTACTTTCTGTTCACAGAAATATTTTTCAGGAGACTCTCTCAGGACAGTGAACCCTAGACCGGAAGCAAAATTTCAGAAATTAAACTCCTGTCTCCCAGCCAAAGCTAATACAAATGCTTTCAGAAAGAAAAGTAACTTCCAGTTAGGCTCTCAAGACTCTCACAAATAGATCTTTAGAGTTTATAATAGGGGATCACCAAGCACTGGAAATAACAAGCCACCATGAGGGGCAGACAACAGATGGGGGGAAAAGCAATAAATTTGGATCCCCTAAGGATAGAAACATTGAGATTTCCAGACACAGTCTGTGAATAACTACAAAAATGAGCAAGTAACATGAGACTACAATGAATGACTGTGTATATGTGAAAAATAACCAAGCTGAACTTTGAGAAATTAAAAATATAATTGTTAAAAGTGAAAAAAAATGGGGGATTAGAGAGAAAATTAGGCACACCTAAGAGAAAAATGGTAAACTAGACGATAAGAAGGATGAAATTACCCAGCACTAAAAATTTTATTAAGGAGAAATAAGATGAAAAGTATGATGGGGGAAGAGTAAGTGATCTAGAAACAGTTACACATACATATAGCCAGTTAAAACTCCAGAAGGGGAGAACAGTCCAAATAAAAAAGAGGCAATATTTAAAGAATACAAGGCTCCAGAATCTTCTAGATCTCATGAAAGACAACATTCAGAATGAACATCAAGTATC